GTTTTGTTTTGTTTTGTTTTTATGTTGGGGGTGCGGTTTATAGTCCGGTGCGTCTTATAGTCCGAAAATTACGGTAGTAAACTCACCGTCTACAATTTCCCAAAAACACAGCATACGTAGCCGCTCCCAAGTAGGGACTTGTCTCTGGAAAGCCTCGATAAAAGACGCCGACGTCTCCTCTGATGATGAGCGTTAGTGTCGTGGTAGCAACATGCTATGTATTTACATCCATTGCTGCCATGTTTGTAATGACTTATCGCGAGAACAAACGTATTCACGCGTGACTTTAATAGCATTTCTTACTTAATGGAAACAAAGCAGTTGCAAAACTGTTTTTTTTTAGACATTAACAGAATATCGACAAAGTTTTCTGCACATTTGTAATGGAAACACAGCTACTAGAGGCGCTAACGAGTCAAACAGTAAAGCCCAACATGAATCAATCTTACAGAAGTCTTCTTCTCTTCTTTAAAAGACTTGAACAATTTTACAAAATATATCTTTCATCTGGCAAACAATGGCTTCATTATCTCACGTACTTTGAGAATATGTTATCCATGTACAGTAAAAATGCATGTTAAATGTATACACCTTATCAAAACCAAGGATTTATGTGCAAGGATGCTGAACAAATACTTGGCCCCTCTATGAATACTGTGGCCCCCTGRTGGCCCCTTACTCAGAAAAATCCTASATCCACCACTGGCTCACAATCTGATCAAGTCTTTATATCATATCTGAGCTGCAGAGAGTCACTCCTGCAGGACATGTTTACACATTAAAAGTGGGCGTGTCAGGGGGCGGAGTCTGTGAGCTCGATCTGTTCCGGGGTCTTCAGGTTGGTGCGCAGAAACAAGCGCGTGCACGCAACCCGTGAGGATCCTGGTCCTGGACTCTGAGCTGGTCTGACCTACCTGCTCCAGCAGCAGAGTCTTCCGGTTCTGTTGGGCCAGCTGGTAGGCCGTGAAGGACCCCTGGACCCCGGCTCCGATCACCACGCAGTCGAACCTCTCCTCGGTCCGCATGTTKTCTGAATCAGAACTCCTGTCCGGGTCACAGCTTTTCTGTAGACCAGCTGGGTCCGCCCACAGGACCGAACCGAGGGGAGGGTTCGGTTTATGACCCCAGAGTTCTGTCGGGCAGGAAGGAGAGAGCTGCGCGGACCGGGTCGAACCAGGATCTGGGTCAGAACCAGCAGGTGGTGGTGCCTGACAGTCCAGGATCAGGGAAAAGAGTTTTAAAACAGGGCGGAAAAACAGGTCTGGACCGAGACCGTCCCTGTTTGGACCTGACCCAGAATGAATGAATGAATGAACTTTAAAATAAAATAAAACTTAACGTTCCTGCTGCTTTATTTTTATATTGAGTTAAATAAAGTTTAACTCTGATTTATTTTATTATCAATAATACCAAAAACCACAGAACAGAACCAGTCCAGTCCTGTGGGTCCAGAATCAGCAGAACAAAAACTAAAATATTATTTATTACATTTATTCTTTGTTATTATTATAGTGGAAACAGTTTTTATTTAATATTTATCTATTTTTGAAGATACCTGAGAACCCTGACCCACAGTGGGACCAGGACCCCAGACGAGATGGTTCTGGACCCATCAGAACACTGAGTGAAAGACAGAACCACTGATACTGTAAAACTGACAAACTGCACCTGTACCTGCTGGACTCAGACCTGATCAGGTTCTGATCTCAGAACCAGGTCTTTCTGCAGGACCTGTTGGTTTAACAGGTTGTTGGGTTTCTGCTGACACAGCAGGTCTCTGTTCAAAGTTCACGTGTTACGTAAGGACAGACGGCCTCAGCTGATKGGTCAGCAGGCTGCTGTCCAATCACATGTCACCGCTGGAACACAGGAGGTTCCAGGTCTGTGGGAGGAAAC